TAATTTTTAAATTTATAGTATAGATGAGGTCCACTATTTTGCCCAGGCTGGTTTTGAACTCTTGAGCTCAAGTGACCCTCCCACCTTGGCCTCCAAAGTTCTGGAATTATGTCATGAATCACTGTGCCCGGACAAGAGTTTGCATTTCTAATAAGTTCCCAACTGAAGGGGCTGGTCTGCGGGACCATTGACACAAGCTCCTGTGGGAGTGAGTTTAAACCTCGCTGTTTATCCTCAGGCAAATTTCTTCTCTCAACTGAGCCTCATCTGTAAAGTGAGCGTATCAGAACCTACCTCATTGCAGGGCATACGGTAGCCTTACTAAGATTCTGGGTACCCAGAAAATGCTCAGTCTGTGTCAGTCCTCAGCATTACTGACACATTGTTTTTGAGACATCTGATGAATAGGGAGGGTGGAGTTGTGACGATACCAAACTTGGAAGAAGTGAGAGGAAGAATGATCAAATGTATATTGCGTGCTTTCTGTATGCAATGTACTAATTCCTAAATGTCAAAATGCTTTATCGTTAAAAGACAAAGCAAAACAAAAACAAACCCAGGTAGAATGCTTTATCTTTAATTAATTCATTCAACAAACAATCATTTGCTCTAAGTCTGAGAAGCAGGCTCTGTGCTGCGGCAGTGGGCGGCATGAAGCCGGAGCAGGCATGCTTCCTGTCAGCAAGGAGCGGCAATCTAACAGAAAAAAAGAACGAGAGTAGCGGAGACAGGAACACAACACGGCAGGCGGAGGAAGGTGATGACAGGCTGGGAAGGAACACTCAACACCCTCGAGAAGCAAGCTGGAGAGGTTCTTTTCAGACAGGTGGGGGATCAGAAGGGGTTTCCTTGTGGAGGCGTCATTTATTTGTCTGGAAAAATGGGTAGCATTTAACCCATGGAGTTAACAAAGTATGGGGAAGAACAGCAAAAGCACCAACAGGAGAAAGCAGAAAGCAACTTCAAACTACATGATTCAGGTCAGTTTGGTTGATTGCAGGGTGAGGAAGACAGAGTGGGAGCTGAGGTTGGCCTGGCTGTCTGCTGTCAGGCATTGGTCAGCTGTGACCATCAGTGGTTCACAGGGCTCCTCTGAGAGCATTCCATGTCCTTTGTGGGGCAGGTGTCCAGCACACCACTGTGGGCTTGATGATGGGCATGATGATGAGGCACAGGGGTGAGAGTTTGCATGGTCTAGGTGGGGAACCCCCAGGAGCTCTAAGCACTGCCAGAGCCAGCTCACCTTCCCAGCATCCTTCAGAAGGAGAAGTCAGCCCCATGCCCCCACCAGATTATTGCAGGACCAAGGCCACCCCGCACACCCAAGGGAAAGCTCCTAGTGCCACTCTGCTGCTCCACCTGCTGACTTCACGACTTACTATGACCTGATTTAACCTTAGCATCCCCCACACTCCCATCCCCATGGAGACCAAGGCTCTGGAAGGCAGAGTCATCCTGGGCAAGGGGCAGCCCCTGCCCTTGTGAGCAGAGAAACTTGGAGCTCTGTCTAACAAAGCTGTGGGACCTGCAATCCACCCATGGGGAGAGCAGCAAGCCTCCTGCCATGCTGGGAGCCGTCTCTGACTCAAGAGAGACCCCTTCGGGGTGGTCCTAGAGCAGCTGTCTCCAGAGACTCTTACTTCCTGGTTCTCCTACCAGAAAGTCTCCGAGATTCTCCTGCCATCCCTGGTTTCCCAACCAACTGAGAGTCTCCCAGCTGGGGATTTTCTCCACCACTGCTGGGCTCAGACTCCAGTCCCTACATTCTTCTGGCTCCTAGGGAAGTACAGTAAGGAGTCCAAGGGTTGCCTTCTTTCCCCTTGGCTTCTCCCTCCTGTGGTAAGTCCAGTGCTGAGTGTCAGGGAACGCAGTCCAGAGCCCAGCTCATCCCGACTCTCTCCTGCACATATTCCCCTCCCAGGGCCCCCAGCTCTCCTTCCTAGTGCACAGGACTTAAATGTGCAAACACATCACTTGGCCACTCAATACAGACACGGGAATTCTGAGGCTGCCAGTCTGGGTTGGACTCAGGAGCGTACAGATCTACAATCCCTCCAGGGATACTGAGCAGGTTATCTGGATCACATCTTAAGAGACACATATTTGAAAGACAAATTGTTAGACAGGCTTTGTTCTCAGGTGGCTTGAGGGGATCAGAAGCAAACTGAGAGCGTGGCAAAGACAAGTCTTTCCTGGAACGCCTCCACCAGAAGTATCTGGTCTCTCCAGACAAGGGTCACAAATTCCCATGCCAACTAGTCCCACCTTCCCAAAGGAAGAATACTGAGCCCTGGAGAAATGGTCCCCAGCTCAAGAAGCACTGGCCATGTCTGTTGGGGTTGAAATGGCTCCCATAGCTTCCTTGTAGAATTCTCCTGTTGTAACAGGCTGGTCTATATCACCATGATGCTGCCTGCAGGGTAAAAAGCCCAGGCCACCCAGCAAGGTGTCAGCTGAATTGCCAAGTCTGCTGGTGTGGCCAGTGGACTTCACCAGACCTTATCCTGCCCAACCTTTATCCAGCCTGAGGCAGGCATTGCCTGGAATGTCATTTAAGCTGTCCTGGAAGCATTGTCTTCTGGGAGAGAGCACCAACTCACTGACACCCTGGGTGAGAGTTCCCTCTCCTTGCTCCCAGAGCTCCTGCCTTCCCCTGTAGCTTTTATCATGTGGCATCACAGCTGCTGCTGCTGGTCCATCTCCTCTGCTAGAATATTTGTTCTTGAGGGCAGGGACCATTTCTATCTTGTTTATATTTGTGTCATCACCCCTAGCAAAGTGCTTGGCATGTAGCAGGGACTCCAAAAATATTTATTAATAATAGTAATAACAAATTGATTAAGTGTTTAGAAAGGGCCAGATGCTTTGCAATCAGGCTTCACAAAACATCCTTTATGGCTGTGAGTACCCCATTTAACAGGTAAAGAAATCGAGGCTGAGAGATGAAATAACTTATTCAAGAGCTCCCAGCTGGCAAATGGCAGAGTAATGAGGGATCTAGCTGACTGGGTATTTTAAACATTTTAATTGAATTTTTATTTATTTGTAGAGATAGGGTCTTCCTATGTTGCCCAGGCTGGTCTTGAACTCTGGGGTTCAAAGCACCCTCCCAATTCAGCCTCCTGAATAGCTGGGATTATAGATGTGAGCCACTGCGCCTGGCTTGAATGGGTCATTAGAGCCCACAGCCCTAGTACACTCTTCTCCACACGTCACAGGGCTGAATTCAGCAGGAGATGGTGTCCTCAGATGGCTCTGGAGCCTCAGTCCAGGTCAGCTACTCAGACAGCCCAGCTGCCAGGCCAGGAGAGAGTAGGGCCTCCCATGCTCCATCTCCAGGTCTTTCCCAAGTGCCTGGCAGTGGGGACCTCTTCCCATGAGAGAAGCTGGCTGGGGAGAAGCACTGACTCGGACCATCACAGGGACACACAAACACCACACTGAGAACATTGTTGGCAATGAAATTGCAGATGTCATAAACTCCAGCCTTTCCCTTCCAGGTTTCCTTTCCTGTTCCCTGGTGGGAGAGGACCACACCCCATGCAGTGCTGGGAGACCTCTCCAGCAGGCCTTGGGGTGCTGGAGCCCTGGGAGGACAGTCATATTGTCCAGGTTATTTCTCCCAACTGCAAATGGAGGCAGCCCTCCTGAGGGGCCGGGAAAAGAGCCCTTGTAAAAACTGAAGCCAAGTCACAGAGCCCCAGGGATCCAGGAACTGCTCACTGCTGTACAAATGGGAGTCTGGTCCTGGTGCAGAAGTCCCTCCTGGCACACCCCCTCCCCCGTAGGCTCTTGGGGGACTCTCCTGCCAGTGACACAACTGTTAATAGCCAACCTGGGGCTTTTGCTGATTCCTCCAGGGGCTGGCTAAAGGCTGACAACCTTAGCTCCCAGGGAAAAAAGTAGTGGCACAGAAAATGGGCCTCGAGAGAGGTAGGTTTGGAGGAGAGCAAGCAAGAGGAGAGCCTGACTCAGGAGAAGCCAGCATCAGAGCCTTCCAAGGCTGAGAGTGAAAATAGATGGAGAGTGGAAATGGGGCCCAGCGCACCAGGAGGAAGACCTGAGCAGGCGGTGGGTGGTGGGCTGTATTCCCTGAGCGGACAGAGGGATGGATCAGGGGATGGAGACTGCAGCCAGGGTCTTTTACAGTGACTTGCCTCCTAAGCCCAGACCAAGTTGGACACTGGAGCCAAATTGTATGCTCTGCAGCCAGCTAGGGCTTTGCTCCAGGCTCTTTAGCCCCAGGGGTCAGAAGTTCTGGGTAACTCCAGATCAGCAACCCTACAGCTAAGTGGGGCTGAGGGCAGAAACGGCTGTGTCCAGGAGAGGCTAGTGGCGCACTGGCCTGCCAACTGCAGTTCTTATGTGTGTTGAAGCAGCATTTATTTTTACCTGGGTAGGTTCAGCTTCTGATCACAGACATGGGGGTTTTCCATTGGTTTCCATGGAAACATTAGGCAGAGCATCTGCTACCCAATCAAGCAAGGCTAGTCTGGTAAGACACTTTTCAGAATTATTTTGCTGTTTTTACCCAGGAAGTGTGTCCTGCCTGAATTCGTACCCCTGCTTTCTGGCATGGTAGAACAGGGGAGAGCAGCTCCAAGGGGATAGGGCTGGCTCCCAGGGAAGGAGAGCATGGTGGCAGGGCCATACCTACTTGGAGAAGCCATTTGTTTTCCATTTCTAAGCTACAAGTAGGATCCCGTGATGAGGCCACAGGAGCCTGGGCTCAGTCTGACCTGAGCTGGTTCCTGGTTTTGGTGCCAGGCCTGCCCTTGCAGTAGGACCACCTGTTGGCCCCCGCCAGAGTAGTCAGGAGTTCCTGGGGTACCACAGGGCACGAGGCCGACGAGCAAGCTACCAGGTGCAGGAGAGGGCTGGACCTGAGCATGTTCAGTTTCACTTTTACAGAAAGGAGGCCCTGGCTTCCCCCATGAGGCGGGGAGGGTGGTGCTGAAGGGCTAGGGCTGGAGGCAGAAAGGAAGGCGCTGGTGCACGTAGACATGTAAGAAGTGGTTTTATTCTAGGTGTGTGTTTCATAAAGACGAGGTCCTCAAAGACAGCTAGTGGCACATGCTTTGGTCAAGAGAAGAAAAGCAAAAACAGAATAGAGCTGAGTTGCCACAAAGGACCGGCCGATAAGTGCAGAGCCTGGTCTGACCACAGCAAAGGAGGGAGAGACCCTCTCGAAGGCCCTCTGGTCAGCAGTCCTCTTATATTCGACAGAAGCAGCCACCACTCCCCAGCCCCAAAGGTCCACACTCGAGTGTGGCCCAGGCCTTCTAGTCCATCCTCTGGGGAGAGGTCTTTGCCCTGGGTCCAGTTCAGTCCTAAGCTGTGGCAGGAGGCTTCCCAGATGAACAGGGGATCTGAGGCTGCACCTGGCCGTGGATGAAACATCACCACAGACGACGGGTGAAGCATGGCCCTGGGGTGAAGGGCCCTGCGCTGGCAAGTCCAGGGGGCTGCACTTGGGCACAGGAGCGCTGCTGAGAGGACGCTGGTGAGAGTCAGGAGGTGAAACTGCTGGAGAGCCCTCCAGAGCAGGTGCTGCGGACCACCAACACTTGGCTGCTGACCTCAAGGGCCACGTGGAGGGAGCGGGCGATGGTGCTTTGAGCACACCAGGGAGGGAGATTGGGAGGTGGCAGCTTGGGCAGACAGTGGCTTCAATCCAGAGCAGAGGTTCAGGCCCTTTGGGGATCAGGGACCTCTTTAAGAAGCCCTGGACTCTTTCCCCAGGAAAATGTGTTTATGCACACACATACATGCAATATTTTAGGGACAATTTCAGGAGATTCCTAGACCTTCTGGAATCCATGAATTCTCTATGGGTGTGTGGATCCTTGGCCTATGAAAGACAGGGGCTCCTGCAGTACATGTATCTGCCCCAGGCTGGTCTGCTTTATAGCGAGACTCCTAGGGTCCTGGTGCCAACAATCATTTGCCCAAGGTAACACTTCCTGAGCCAGTGGGGTGAGGGAAGAAGGGCGTGGGGATAGCAGGAGCAGTTCCAAGGCAAGGCCTCGGGGTAGATGTGTGAATATACTCTCAGTGGCTGTGGAAAGGAACTGGGAGTTCTCTACACAAACAGGAACCACAGCCAGCCTCCCAGCCCAGTGTAATAGCTGATCCTTCAGAAAAATCCCTCCTGTAGTGGGGAAGGGAATAAGGGTGAAGTTGAGCCTGGATGGCTTAGCCTCTACTGACTTAGGGGCTGTTCATAGTCCGGAAAGGAGGTCCCTTCTTTCCTATCACCCTGAACAATGATGCTGTATTGAAAGAGGCAAAAACCTTTGAGAAAGCAGGAGTCAAAAATGACAAACGAAGCTGGGGCTACTCAATGATGTGTGTGGCTATCTGTCCTTTCAGTGGGACCTGGCGGCAGGAACAGGGCACTAGCTCTTTGTTAATGCCCAAGAGAGAGGTCTCAGCCTGACACATGGCCAAAAAGAAGTGAAATCTGTTTGATAAACCATGCCGGAGTCTTCTCTACAGATCCCTTTGCAGCCTCTTGCTAAGGAACGTGGGCACCCGCAGGCACAGGACCGAGGCACAGCATTGGGCTCAGGCCCTGGGGCTGATGAAGTGTGGAAGAGACTGTGTCCTGGGGAAGAGACCTTGTTCTTTTGGGGCTTTGCTGCTCTTCTATTCACGTTCATTGCTAATTACCCATTTTTGCTGCCAAGATCCCATCCGTCCCCCACCCAACCCAGCAGCACCCTGGGCCTGGCATCTTTGACAGGTCACCAGGCTTCTCACTTCCTTCCTGTTCTTTTCCTGCCCCTGCAGGCTGCCCCTCTCCTTTTCTTCCCTCTTTTTCCAGCCTTCAGCCTCTCCATCCACACTGCCCACTTTCTCCTCGCCCTACCTGCTCACACCACTGGGCCTCATGACCCAACAGGCCCCCAGGTGGCCTTCCGTCCTTGCTCTCCCCAAGCGACAAGGGAGAGACCACACACTATAGTCCTGGCCCCAAGAAGTGCCAAGGGAGAGGACAAAGGGCCAGGGGCACCTACTCAGTCTCTACCCAGCAACAGTCCAGCACCCTGACCATCTCCATTCCCGGGGGCAAGGCCAGGACAGCGCTGAGGGCATGGGGGGTGCCCACCCACGCCCTCCTGGAACAAGCTTTGGAGAATGTGTGTCATGGTGGATGTTTGCTGATGGTCCTGGCGGAAATATGAGGAGATGGGAACGGCCTGCTTTGCACTCCCCCACCCAAACCCCCTTCTGGCCCCAAAGTCTCATGCAAAAGATACAGGAGGCCCTGGGGCTACCGTCATGTGTGTGGCAACAGCTGCCACTGCTGGGCCTGGGTGTCAGCCTGACACTTGCTGGTCACCAGCTGGGCAGGGTTCGTCTCCAGGCAGAGGCCACTGACTGAGTGCTGGATGAAAGATCCTTTCCTCCTCCATTTCTAGGAGGAACGGAGATGGGTTCAAAGAAGAAGGAGAAAACAATGGTTTAAAAAAATAATGTTGTACTTTCATTTCATATGCATGTACGCAACCCTTGTATATAACTGGGACACACCCCCTTCTCCTTTTTCTTAGACATGATCTTGATCTTACAGTGGTGCCACCATAGCTCACTGCAGCCTCGTACTCCTGGGCTCACGCAATCCTCTTACCTCAGCCTCCGAGTAGCTAGGACTTCACATGCATACCACCAATGCCCAGCTAATTTTTCAATTTTTTGCAGAGACCGAGGCTCGCTATGTTGCCCAGGCTGGTCTAGATAAAACTTCTCACCTCAAGCGATCCACCTGTCTTGGCCTTCCAAAGCACTGGGATTACAGACAAGAGCTACCATGCCCAGTCATGCGCCTCGTAAAGTAGGCTGTGTATTCCTACGTAAGAGGCTGCCCCCACCCCACCCCTAACACAAGCTTTAAGCCCTGCCCTTCCCAGTGGGCTCTTGCTTCTGTAGTTTGCAGAAGTTCCTGTCCAGATCAGAGGAGGCAAAGCAGCTGAAGTACCATGTGCTTATTTACAGTTTAGCTTGGTTGCCACGTGCAAATCTGCATTTCTAGCTTCTATGTAGTTATTGGGCCCAGTTTCTTAGGTGGCATCAGTTGCTGGGGCTGAGGATTTGCCCTCTGCCTTAGATGGGGCTCTTGTTCTCCAGTTTACCATAGTTCCTGCCTGGTCCCAGCTTTTCTCTTATCGGGGTTTTCCCACCAGCTCCCTGTAGGCACTTGAGTTTGTCAGTCCCGGCCCAGGTAAATCTGTTACTTTGGCACACATGATTTCTTCTTCCTGTGGTCCTAAGCTGCTGACCTGTGAGGCCACTTCTCTACACCCCTAGTGGGAGCTGCCTTCTTTGTAGGGATGACATCTAGAAGTCACAGTGACCTGGGTTTGAATCTCAGCTTCACCCCTTCTCAGTGGTGTGATCTGACATATGTTCTTCAGATTCAGCGAGCCTCAGTTTACTCACCTATAAAATGAAGCTAGTACTAGAACCCACATCACAGGGTGGCTGGGTGGATTAGATGAGATGATCTATTTCAAACATGTAACACAGGCTGTCCGTAAAAGCTAACACTTACTTGAATCATGGTGGTTGTCAGGAGCTAGGGATACAGTGTTAACAAGACAAGCGGTCCCTGCCTTCACGGAGCTCACAGCCTGGCAGTATGGCACTAAACAAATAATTACCCAAAGAAGTATTTCCTCATGGGTAAAATAACTGGCTTGATCTAGATGTAGACTTGGCTCCTCCTCTGCCCCAGATCCTTGCTCTGCAGGGATTATTTGAGTTGATTGGGGTCTCCCCCGCCAGGGTCTGCCACCCTGAGGCATGGTCCCCTGGGGCTGCTGGGTCTCTGTGCCAGAGGCGAGGAGACTCACCTGCTTGCCTTCTCTAGGGTTGCACATCTGCAGTGTGACGGGGGATCCGGGAGAGGACATCAAGGTGGAGGTGGCAGCCAGGCACTTCCCCTGCTGCTGGATGAGGTGGTCACTGAACAGCCAGGCCTGCAAGGCAGGGAGCAGAAAGGCCAAGTCAAAAGTACAGCGATGGATGGAGAGATGGGTAGGTAGGGGATAAAGCAAACACATGGCATATTTTTGTAAGATTTCTATGAATAATTATAGGAGCTAGGGTGGGTGTATGGGTATTCACTGTATAATTCTTCATATTTTTCTGTATGTTTGAATTTTTTTGATAATAAAATATTGAGGTGGGGGAGCTTAGCTGGAGCTGGCCAGAGGGCAATCACAGCTGTACCCAGGGACTGTGGGAGATGGGAGAGAATTACAAGACTTGGAACCAGGGCAGCTGGGAGCTGGTCCTCACTGGGGTCTCCATGACCTGCTTTAGTTTTGATGTGGGTGCAACACTCATGTGTGCACGGAAGTCTTGGACATTGCCTTTCACACGAGCCAAGCCCAGCTGCATCTCAGGAGAGAACTGGGCACTATCTGGGCAGCACTTCTCCCTTGGTAAGGACAAAGCAAGTGGTGCACACAGGATACCCAAGTGACAGGCGTATTGAAATGCATAGGATACGAATGCGTGGGAGCAGAGTATAGGGGCCCCTGGCAAAGTGGGTTTGTGTAAGGTGTAGGCAGAGGAGAAGAATAAGCGGGGGGAGTCCCTTAACCCACTCCGAGCAATGCCTCCAGCTCTCTCTCACGCCCATTCCTACCCGAGGTTCTAAGCAGCTTACCTGGGCAGGCTGGGGGTTCTTGGCAGACCCCCTGCAGATCCCCATTCCAAGCAGGAAGTCACCAGCTGTGTTCTGGCCCTGAGATTCTAAGCAGTTCATCCCCTGCTTAATGATGACAGGGAGTACTTCCTTCACGGGGACCCTGAGAGAGAAGGCAGCAGTCAGGCTTGTCCTCTGCCCCATCAGGCTTACCTACACCCTCTCCCAGACAGCAGCGTCCCTTCAGCTCTGGGGGTGCCAAGGTCTCCGTGGGAAAGGGCCTGGGAGCAGCCTGGCCAGCAAAAGGAAGTCAGTAGGGTTGGATGAGGAACAGGAGTGGCCTCTAATAAGACTAGGCATTGGTTCCAGGGGTTCTTCCAAGGGGATCTGGTAGCCCCTGGGACTGCCCTGGAGGCTGGGCCTGAGACATAGAGGATGGGGGAGCCATGGGGGGAGCTCAGGCCAGAAAAGCGGAGCCCCTCAGTCCAGAAGGAGGAAAGCCTCAGGAGAACATGGGGTCAAAATGTAGGCTCAATAACCCCAAAATGACAGGGAAGTGGGTGCTTTGAAAAGACAAATTAAACATAAATATGAAAATGTGTTTAATCTCAGTAATGATTAAAGAACTACATATCAGAGTCACCGATGTGTATTTACCATGTATGTATATTTGGACACACAAACACACACACTTAATTTAATGACAATGCCCAGTGTTGGCAACAGCTGTGAGGTTGAATCTTCTCACATCTTTCTGGCAAAAGCATAAATTAATACAACCTCTCAGGAGGGCAGTGTGGTATTATCTAACAAAGCCCTTAGAAACACACACACCTTTGACCAACATTGCCATTTCTAGGAATCTATCCTACAGAAATAATTACAAATGTTGTAAAAGACATTTATCTCAGAGTAGTGAATTATACGCTTACACACACATATACACACACACATACACACACTCTCTCTCTCTGTCTCTCTCTCTGACACCTTATGGGTAATAAACCTGAGGAAGCTGCTGGCATACCTGAGTTCAGATTATGTTCATTCTTAGATTAAGGACTCACCAGGCCTGGGAGTTATGGGGAAGCAGGAGGGGTTACAGTCAAGCTATTGCTTCTCTGCCTCCTGTTACCTCTTTTGGGGAGAGAATCTGGGCCTGGGGGGTTGGGCCATTATAATATTTTTGGCATTCTTTGATGTGGACATCTGCAGGATCTAGACCAAACCAGGTCTTCCTTTCTCAAGGCTGGCTAGAAGCCGTGAAATTCCAGAACTGATCTGCTCCCAAGAGGCTCAGAGAGCCCCTTTCAATTCCCCTCCCACACCCCTAGCAGCAGCCTGTGCCTCTCCAGACTCCTTGCCATGCAGCTAGACAGCTAGTGGCAAACCGCTGGCTGCCAGGCTGAATCTGGCCCCCAGATACCATCTGACCTGCATAGCGTGGTGGCTGTGGCTTTTAATTAGTTGGCAATATTGAATGATTTGAAGGTTACACAGAAACCTTCAAATCTGAATCTAGCTTCCCTTGAAAAAATTAGAAGATGAGGCCACACTGAGCTTTTCCAGCATGGCACTAATCCACCGTGGTGAGTAGCAGCTGCCCCCTCTGGGTGGGGCTTTTACATCCGCGTTTGCCAAAGTCCCCACAACTCTCTATGGTCTCATCCATACCCATTTGACTTATTTACATCACCTGCCTGACCACTGTGAGAATCTGAGTTTGCAACCCCTGCCATGTGCAAGCATGTTGGAGGGAAGGAGCTCCACACTCTCAGCCTCATCCAGGAGCAATGTGTTACATTTCCCTTCTCTATAGAGACAAGATGGATACTGAGGCCTCTTTGATGGTTATGGGGAACATGCTGCTCAGTGGGGAATACGGGGGGATACGGCAGGAGGGCCAGGGGTTGTTCCAGACCCTGCTACTCCCCTGTTGCTTAGGCTGTTGTGCAAGCTGATCAGCTTTCAGAGATGAGGTGAACACTGACCAAGGTGGCAATGCCCAGTGATGCTTACGGAAGAAACCCTGGACTTGGGAGCAATCTCAGAACCAGATGCAGCTCCTACGCTGTGGTAGCAGCTCCTGGAGCAGCTTGGGATGGCAGTCATCACCACCTTTCCCCAGCTCCCCGGCAGTGCCAGGCTAAGCTGTCCTGTTTGTAGGCAACCCTCTAAAGTCTGCCTCCAATTCCTTCTCTATGGGTCTCGTCTACGTATGCAGGCTGCTATTATACCCATTCCCCAAGACACTACTTCTTTCTGTTAGAAAATTGACAGGATATACTGGTTTTGTTAGAAGAAGAATGCTTACTGCCATTTGCTTGGAATTACTGTCATGAACATGCAATGTCTACTAAGTGACTAGCACCCTCACATACAATGCACAGCCTGAACAACTGTTCCTGACAGTCCTAATGCAAGTACTAAATTAGCAGTTGTTGAGGCCAGCTGCAGAGCTCTGGCCTGGAGAAGGGGCAGAGCTGTGCCAGGCCTAGGAGAGCAAAAGCCTCTTCTTTCAGCCTCCTCAGTCTCCCCACTGACTGTTTCCAAGTGTGGGTAACTATTTAGGGACCCCTTGTTTGGAGGGAAGTTGGTATCATTCAGACCTATGGGTCCCCTTTCTAATCAACAAGTTGATCCACTCCTGGCCCCTTATCCTGGGAACTGGGGGTGAGTAATCCAGATAGAAATGAGATCTGGGGTTTCCATCTGAGCAACAAAATATTATGTTAACTTTCACAGAGTGGAAGAAGAAACAGAAGACAGCTTCTGCTCCTCATCAACGTGGCTGGTTCATCCACTTTCCTGCCTTGTGATGGAACCAGGTTTCTAGTAGTTATGAGACACTTCTTCCCCTGAGTCCTTGGGGCGCCATCAGACCCTGTGGCAGGGCACTGGGGTTGGAAAGGAGGGGCATTCCCAGACCTCCCCACCTCTTCCCACAGGCTGCCCATCTCCTGCCCTAGGCCTGGAACTTGCGGGCTTCACTCAAATGTTGTATGAATGTGGACAGAGTGTGAAGAAGTGACTGGTCTTTTTTCTTCAGGTCTCAGAAGTGACGCATCTGAATGAAGACTGTCCCCTAAAAGTGACCACTTCAGGAAGTTGCATTTTCATAAATTAATGTTCTTCCCATCACAGCTAGTGTCCAGGAAGCCAGGGTTATCTAAGCCACTGACTTTTTTCCAGTGACACTGCCGTTACTCACATTGTTCTAGAATTTCTTGGAAATTGCTCCCGGAGTCAGTGGAATCTCCTTCCTTTAGAGTCATGCTGTATTTGGGACCTGGGATTATATTATCTGGGTTAATCATCCAGCTTATTCACCACACTTGGCTACAACTTAATGGTGGCTATTGGCCAAAAATCAAACCTGTCCTCAAAGGCAAAGATTTGCCTCGTTCAAGGATATGCAAGCTCTGAGGGGTGGAGAGTTCTGGAAAGCCACAGCAGCATCCTTGAGAGAAAGCCGGCAGCCGTGGGAAACCTGTTCCCCAAGGTCACAGCTATAGAGGGCGCATGAGGCTTTCAGACATGATTGACGCGTATTGACTGTGCGATTTATTCAGTTACAAATATTTACTGAGTGCCCACTTTATAACAGGCACTGTTGCAGGAGCTGGAGATAAAGCAGTGAACAAATAGATCAAAGCCTCTCCCCTCATGCAACTTACAGGCAAGTTCAGGGAGACACAACACAATTAATTGGCCAGATAATGCCAAATGGTAATCATGGCTACAAGGAGCATGGAGGAGAGGTGGCTGGGAAAGGAGGTAAAGCTGCAAACTCAGAGTTTTCAGGGGACAGTCTCTCGGGAAGGGGACATTTGAGTCCAGACCTGAGGAAGGTGAGGAAATGAACCACATGGATGTAACTGAGACGCTGAAAAGGTCATCAGAGCTTATTGGCCATAGTGCTGTTGAGAATGCACACATATTCCTAGGTAACTACAGCCCGAGTGCATACATCATTTGCATTTTGTTTTCTCATCTGCCAGAGCAAACGTTTCCCGTGTTTTCTTCACAGTTTCTATGATTATAATATTAATGGGTGCATAATATTTGTTTAGATCCATGTATGGTGATTCACTGAACCCAGCCCACCCATTGTTAATTCTTTTTCTTTTCTTTCTCTCTCTCTTTCTTCTTTCTCTCTCTTTTTCTTCCTTTCCCCCTCCCCTCTCCTCTGCTCCCCTCTCCTTCCCTCCCCTCCCCTTCCCTGATCTCTCTGACACTTAGGCTAGAGTGCAGTGGCATAATCAAGGTTCACTGTGGCCCCTACCTTTTGGGCTCAAGTGATCCTCCCACTCACAGGTGTGTGCCACCACACCCAGCTAATTTTTTTATTTTTAGTAGAGACAAGGTCTCTACTAAACAGATCAGCCTGTTGCCCAGGCTGGTCTCAAACTCCTGGACTCAAGCAATCCTCCTGCCTTGGACTCCCAAAGTGTGGAATTACAGGCATAACCCACTGTGCCTGGCTGTTTCTCGTGTTTTCACGGCCGCTGTTGAGCTACTGGTCAACAGCTGCTGCTTTGGTTGCTTTATTTCCTCAGGATAAACTCCCAGAAAAGAAAGAACAGGGTTAAAGGGGATGAATGTCTCTGCAGCCTTTGTTATGTAACGCAGTGTTGTTTCCTAAGGGAATAATGTCCATTTCTAGGTCTGAGACCATTAAAAAATTGGTTCCTACCACACCTAATTTATAACTCCCAGTAATGCCCACTTAGTTCCCCAAGAGCCTTCACATAAAAGTAAAACTCAGCAGCCGGAAAGAGCCAGAGCATTGGTGTTGAGGGGATTTAAGGGTGGGGTGGGCTCAGGCCGCTGGCCCCAACCCCAGGGGATGCACAAGACGAGGGCTGCACTCACGTGAGCTCCGGGTAGACGTTCTCCAGGTACCAGCGGAAGGACTTGCAGTTCATCTTCTTCCTCTGCTCTATCCGCGAAGCCACGCTGTAGGAGAAGGCAGGGCTCCGGCTTTGGCCTGCCATGTGGAAGGCAGCTCCAGGGAGGACACCAGAGGCCCCTCCCCAAGCCCCAGGAGTCAGCCCCCTCTTCCCACCTATCTCAGAAAGGCAAGGATGAGGAGGCTTCCAACCTGCCATGTCCAGCCCTGGCCACTTGTCTGATGTCATTCTCTGACCTGCAAGCTCAACCCAGGTCTGGCTATTCCTCACTCCTCAAATTCCTGCCTGGAGCTCGCCTTTCAGGGTGAACACAGACCATACAGGACCATGGCTTTCTCTTGGCTTCTCGATCCTTGAGACCTCAGTTAGCAGACCATGAACTGGTCTTTTTTTTTTTTTTTTTTTAAGATGGAGTCTCTCTCTGTTGCCCAGGCCGGAATGCATGATCTCAGCTCACTGCAACCTCCGTCTCCCAGGTTCAAGCAATTCTCCTGCCTCAGCCTCCCGAGTAGCTGGAATTACAGGTGTACACCACCACGCCCAGCTAATTTTTGTATTTTTAGTAGAGACGGGGTTTCACCAGATTTGCCAGGCTGGTCTCGAACTCCTGACCTCATGATCCACCTGCCTTGGCCTCCCAAAGGGCTGGGATTACAAGTATGAGCCATCATGCCCGGCCGAACTGGTCTTTATCTTTGCAGAGTTAACGAGAAGTACTAGAGAAAGATTTAACAGCAGGAAGAGCAAGCTTTAAACATCTTTCAGGTGTGCTGGCAAATAAAACCATTAGATGTGTTCTTGGGACACCGCCGTCCTCACCTTCCTCAGCTACACCAACCACAGTGGCCACTGGGTGACCACCCTCATCATCAGCTATCTGAGCCTCAGTTTCCCCTACATTAAACTGGGGATACAATCACTCAAAAGCCACTTTCAGAAGGCTTTTGTGAGAATCAAGTGAATTATGGGGTCATGAAGCACTTAGCACAGGGTGGGTGCTAAGTAAATGTTAGCTCCTCATTACAAGAAATATTTAGTGACATAACTTTTTTTTCAAAACAGGGGGATAGATATGAATAAATCGGGAAAAGATTCATTGATGATCATTCATAATGTTTTCAAACTTTTCTGAGCACAAGCTTATGTAGGAGATAAATATCTTACATTGTAATCTATTATGCCCCATGTACATATGGCCCTCAGTATCTGTGAGTTCTGCATCCATGGATTCAACCAACCTTGGATCAAAAATAATCAGGAAAGCATTCCAGGCCAGGCGCAGTGGCTCATGCCTGTAATCCCAGTACTTTGGGAGGCCAAGGTGGGCAGATCGCTTGAGGTCAGGAGTTTGAGACCAGCCTGGCCAACATGGTGAAACCCCATCTCTACTAAAAACACAACAAATCAGCTGGGCATGGTGGCACACACCTGTAATTCCCAGCTACTCATGAGGTGGAGGCAGGAGAATCACTTGAACCCAGGAGGCAGAGGTTGCAGTGAGCCTAGAGTGCCACTGTGCTCCAGCCTGGGTGACAGAGCGAGATTCCACCTGAAAAAAAAAATTCCGCAAGGTTCCAAAGCCAAACTTGAATTCCCCATGCATCTAGTACTACATTGAACCCATGCAAATGAAGTGATGTGTAGGCATTGTATTAGGTATTATAAGTAATCTAGAGATGGTTTAAAGTATTCAGGAGGTTGTGCATAGGGTATGCAAATTCTACACTATTTTATATGAGGGACTTGAGCATCTCTAGATTTTGGTATGTATGGGGGGGTCCTGGAACCAATTCCCTGCGGATGCAGAGGGGCAGCTGTCCATGTGTAGGTACATGTGCACACACACACACTCACACCCACAACTGAGATGAAAGTTTCACAAGACAATACTAACCCTTAACTGCAATCAACTCTTATTTTCTATTCTGCTCTGTACTAATCTAATCTGTAGTGTTCTACTTCTCTCTCTTTTTAAATGCTGGTCACGACCCACTAAATTGATTGCACAACCCATCTGCATTTTGAAAATGCTTAACTAGACTGTAGTCATAACAGTCTGTGACAGGAAAATAGGCTAACAGATCTCAATTTTGAATAGGACGTGGAGTAGAACCCCAAATGCTTTCTGCAGACAGCCCCTTCCTAAGCACTCCCACAGATGCTCGTTTGCCTGCAGGCAGCTATGGACAGGCAACTCTTTTTCATAAACAAGCCTTCTCTCCCCGTGAGATTTCATGCTCCTCAAAGCTTAAGGTCTGGTCTCAGCATTGCATTCCCTCCCGGGGCCCAAGGAAGCCCATTAGAGTGGGAGCTCAGTGGCTGGGAGGTTGTGAGTGGTTCACCGGCGCACACACCACTTCATATTTTGCTGGGGTTGTGCTAATGTGGGTAGAGGGAGTCAGACAGTGGAGCTGGAGGGGCCCACCTGCCAAAGGCCTTCCCAATGGCCGAGGGCCGGGCCTCATAGTAGTACTGCTTATATTCATCCATCCACACTTCTGCAGTGCGCTTGGTATTCCTAAAAGGAGAGGAAAGAGCAAAATAAGGTCACCAGGGAAGCAACAGGGTTAGTGGTCAGGGTCAAGATTAATTGATCCATGAATACAGAGCGATGAGAATCTCAGGAGCAAGGTGATACTTGGATGGTATAGATTAGCACAACGCTTTTGGAAGACAGTCTGTCAATACCCATTGACTGTAGGTATGCTGCTAGACTTGGGCAGCTGCTGCTCTAAACCCTGCGCAAATAAGCCTGAGCTCAACAAGGTGAAGAACTGTCCACACGTAGAGAGGGTGCTCCTGACAAGTCTCTCATCCTCCCCTGCCAAGTTCCTCACGACAGCAGACCATGGAGGTCTTCCAGGACATTAGTCACTCTCCCTTGAGACTAGTACACCCTGTAGCTGGGGATAGGGATGGAGAGATGGTTGATCAAGTCAGGGATGGGACACTGGCATCCATGACCAGCACTCAGGGTTCAGTGAGTGGAGAGCATGGCTTAGTTGGGGATTTGGCCAATTTTCCGAGACTCTCATGGACAAAGGAAGTCAAGGCAAGAGAGACCTGGCGACAATTCCCACAACTTCATCCCTCCACCCCTGAAGGTACCTGGAATCCCAGGATGTTACCAGAGGGGCAAATGGGGAAACTGAGGCCCAAAAAGTGAGGTGGCTGCCCAGTCACATAGCCATAACTGGCAGGGCTGGGGGCTTGGGCCTTGGTGTCCTGCTCCTTCCTCGGTGACCTACCTGATGTAGGTGAGGGCGTTACCCTCAGGGAAGTTGTAGGGGTGCCGTTTCCTGAAGACATGGCCCACCCGGCTGCAGGGGACGATCTCCAAACTGCCACCGCACATCCACACCCTGAAGGAGAGCTCTGCAGGAGATGGCAGCTGTCAGGAGGAGGAAGGGGCTCCTTGGCAAGGGAGGGTGTGAAGGGGTTGGCTTCCCTTCCCTCTGGTATCTCCCTGGAGGTACATGCTGGGCCGGGCTCCTGGGCCTGTTCAAATGGAGTGCCCGCACTCCTTGCACACGTTTCTGCTGCCCACTCTACATGTGTATGTGCATACATGCAGGTGCACAGGCACACACACGTGAATACACATGCTCCCTGTGGCCCAGACCGGGAAGAGCAGTGGAAAAAGCTTGAAGGAACACCAAGAACCTAAGTAGGAGGGAAACAACCAAATAGCAGCATCATTTCCAGGCTCTGTCTAGAAAGCCCCGGCCAGACATGAGCTAAGGACAAACACATCTGCTTATCAGCCAGCTCTGGGCGCCCGCAAAGTCAGAAAACCAGCCGCCGACCAAACCATAGGCTGCTCCAGCTGGCACCTCTTGGACTGGCCCCAGCCTCCCTCTTGGCCCCGTTGGTCTCCTTGTACAGGCTTTCACTGGCCCTCTTGAGCCACACTTCATTTTGGTGGTGGCAGTGGAGCTGAACCAGCTTTTGTGGATGACTGTGGTCCCCAGTAGTATCAGGAGAGCAGTGGCCATCCTGCTGCCCAGAAGTGGACCTCAAAAGTTACCACTCTGATCTCCATTCACCAGTTGCCATTTATGGTAAGGACCCACCTTGGCAGCTGGCTGAATCTCACATAATCTCTTTTGATTTCTTGCTTTCCTTCATATTAGCCCCATCGTCTCTTCCCACTCCTCAGGTGGCTCTAAGGACACTCATGGTCTCCAGCCAGGCCTGGGGACCCTTACCTGGGGTAGCTGGCCAGGACCCTCCCAGTGACTAGCAAAGGGGAGAGTGGAGAAAGCAGGACTAAAGCCCATCTCTGGCCCCCTGCCTTTGTGCACCAAGCGATGTCCAGATGTGGTTCAGGGCCAGGACTGGACACTTGGCATACCTGGACCCATACGTAAGGTTGTCTGTATCAGTGGGCTTCCCTAGGTCTGCCTATAAACTGCCAGGCATCCACCCCTTCTCTTGCTCAGAGATCTGTGTTGGCCTCAGCAACTAAGGTTTAGAACTGGGCAGTCCTGGGGACAGAAGATCCACAATCTGGTTTTATTTCTGCCATCCTAACTTCGTTATGCTAGTTAAGTCACCTCATCCCACCCAGCCCATATTGTCCGTAGCATTATTAACTAATATTATCATCAACAATGGCAATAACAATAGCAGTAGCCATCCATTTACTGAGTACTTACTGCACGCCATGCTCTTTCTATTCAATACCTAATTCTCACTTCAACCATGTGAAGTCAGGATTATTACCCTTATTTCTTTTAATGAGGACTTTGAAGCTCAAAGATGTTAAATGACCTCTCCAAGGTCACCCAAATATTCAGTTGCAGAAATGCAACGTCAAGTTCACACAGCAAGCTGCACTATCAGATTCGTTAGTTCGCTCAGCAAATTTTCATTATATGTCAGACATTGCTCTAGATTCCCTTGTACTCTAGCAGGGAAGTGGGGAGACAGGAACTCCATAAAATAAGGAGCAAAAAAAAGTACAAGTAAGCAAGAAAATGCAGAAAAATGGAGCATATCAGATGGTAGTTAGGGCCATGGAAAAAGATGAACCAGGCTGGGAGCTGAAGAGGACAGTGGATGGTGGTGGGTGAGGCCTATGGCTGTGTTTTAAATTAGGCTGATGAGTGGAGTCGTCACTGTAAAAGGGACATTTAAGCCAAAACCCAAAACAGGCAAGGGAGCAAGTCCTGTGGCTAGCAGGAGAAGAGCATTTCCAGCAGAGGAGTCAGCAAGGGCAGGTCCCTAGAGGTAAGAGCACGGCTGGCAGGAGGCTGTGCTGGTCAGGCGTGGTGACTCACACATGTGAACCCAGTACTTTGGGAGGCTGAGGCGGGCAGATCACTTGAAAGGTCAGTAGTTCAAGACCAGCCTGGCCAACATGGTGGAACCCGCATCTCTACAAAAAAATACAAAATTAGCCTGGCATGGTGGTGGGTGCCTGTAATCCTAGCTACTCAGGAGGCCGAGGCAGGAGAATCACTTAAATCTGGGAGGCGGAGGTTGCAATGAGCTGAAATCACACCACTGCACTCCAGGCTGAGCAACAAAAGCAAGACTGTGTCTCAAAAAACAAACAAACAAACAAAGAAAACATGCAGCTGTCATGGAAAGGCAGATAGCTTAAGGCCTTGGAGCCAGTAAGGAGTTTGGGCGTTCCTCTGAGTAACATAAGAACCCTTGCAAGGTTTTAAGCAGAGGAGCAGCATAATCCATGTTTTCAGCAGCTCCCCAGCGTGGATACCAAAGTTTGCACATCTGCCAGCCCCTCTCAAGGTAGCCTCTGGGGACCCGAGTTTGGAATTCTTTGGGGACCAAAGAATATGTCTCAGTTTGGGCATCTCCCTTCCTCCCTCCCTTCAATAAAGGAATAAAAGGAAAGGCTTCAACCCGCCAGCAACAGGAGGCTCACAGCTCAAAACTGGCCCCAGCGGCTGAATATCTGAGCACTGCAGCTAGCCTACACATTTCTTTGGATTTCTTCTAAGAAACAAAACCCTTGCCAGAACCATTCTGTGGTTCACCTTTCAAGTTCTCCAACCACGGAGCCCTTGCCTCAGGCAGAGTTTGAAGTGAGCTATTTGATCATTCACTTGTTTCTCTGTCTCTAGCCTCAAAAAAAGAAAAGAAAAGAAAAAGAAAAAAGGCCTCTGGATGCAGAGCAAGGAGACTGTGAGTCTCCCAGCTTTCTAAGTCTTCACAGGAAACTGGCTTTGCCAGAGCCCTTCAGGCTGAGACTGAGGACACAAAGCAGTTCACTTGGACCCAAAACACATGAAAGCAGTCAGAATGGAGCGGTCACTGAACCCCAGTTCCCAGAATTTACTCCTCCAAACCTTGCCTGGAAACAGCTTCCAAAAGCAAGTTACAAAGCGGCAGGGAATCCCCAGCTGGTTTTGAGTCGGGTCGGGCCTATTGCAAGCCCCTCCCCGACCACCATTTGCCTTACGAGGGAGAAAGAGTTAAAGGATCCCTGCTCCTAACATCTCAGAGACATAGACTATACCTTTGCCACATCCCGCGATACATAAGTGGCTCCAGTAAAGGAGCTGCATATGCCTGTTAGACATGAAGTTTCTGGACTGAAATCTGGAAGGCAGCATCCACCTCAGTCTTTCTACCTGTGAAATGGGTGAGTTACCGCCAGCCCTAGTTATTGCATAGAACACCTAGTCGGGAAGTAAAAGGAAACAGTGGGAGGGTTCTGTGAAGGGCTGGGTCCACCCAGAGGGCAAGAATAGGCCTTTGTATTTTGTAAGCCACCAGGTGCCTACCCCTGCTCTGGGAAATCACCGTCCAGGTCTCCACACTGCTCTGTCTGTGAGCACCCCAGGGGCTGCTCCACTGGGCTTCCTTCCTCAGGCAGACAGGGAGGCACCAGCAGGACATGACGGGGTGGGGGTAGAGTGAGGGTGGGTGTTTAGCCCTGACGCTTTCCGCCTGCTGCCATGGGCTGGCTGCATATGGCTCAAGACCACAGCCCCATCAGGGGGTGCTCCCTCACCCTGTCTTTCAGGCCTTGGGGTGGTTATAGCTCCCAGCAGTCACAGCCCTGTCCCGTACTGCGCTGTCCCTGCAGTTCCCTCTATCCTGCCCGCACCATATACACAAGCCCTTTAATAAACCCTCACGTCAGGTGCGCCTTCCATATTCTGCACGGCCCTAACTGATACTCACGCTTTCTCTAACCTCCATCTCACATGCAACCCTGTTTTGCAAATGAAGAAACTGAGGTTCAAAGAGTTGACTGGCTTGTTGGAGTCCAGAATTTGGGCTCTGATCCCATTTGGCGACCCTTCCCTGGTACTCTGTGGCGCCAACACCGTGAGCTGAGAAGCGAGTGTGTGAGGGTCCAGCCCCCTCCAGCTCTTTACTGGAACACTTTGCCCTACCTCAGTCTCCTTCACTGCTGCTTCAGGGTGGGGAGGGGCAGCTCCCTGTGCCTTCTGCGTCTAGAGGGTCCGTGCCTAATGACAGTGGGACCACTACAGCAGCCTTTAGCTCATCTCCTCATGTAGTACTCATAACAACCTCAGGAGGAAACTCAGGCTTCGAGAGGCTTTGACTTGCCCAGAGCCAAACAGCTTGAAGGTAGGAGGGCCAAGGTTTGCACCCAGGCCATCTGACCCCATTACTTACCATCCTCACCACCACCTTCCCCGCCCACCTCCAGCCTTGCTGATAGGGAAGCAGCCACGTGTGTGAGCTGTGGTCTGCGATACAGTTGTGTGTTCTTCCACATACATGTCCAGTCGTGTGACCACAGGTCCCCCTGAACACCAAAACTTCTTTGTTTACTTGCTGTGTGGCTCTGGACAAATTGCCTAACTTCTCTTTGCTTTGGGTTTTTAAATCAGTAAAATGGAGATCATGGTACTTACCTCAGAGTGTCCTCAGGAGGATTAAATGACCTTACGTGTGTAAAGTCCGTAAAGCAGGTCCTCACGCATAGAAAGAGCTCAGTCAGGGTTCACTACGATTATTACTGCTGCTGTTATTTTTACTGTCACTATTTCCCAACTCACCAAAATTCTCTCCCCCCCAGATGTCCATCTGGGCATCATATTTTCCCAAGTGGTTAAACCAGGACTTGTCAATCACGAAGATTCCTCCAGCTATGACAGGCGTCCTGGGAGCAAGGAGAGGGAAGAGGCAACACATGAGCTGGAGAAGCGAAAGGCCCTTTAGATGGCCCCAGGACTCAAGACCAACTGCCTCTAGATCCCAATCTGCAGTCACTGGAGCAGGATGCTAGACAGCTCCCTGGCCCCCCACATCTCTTCCCGTGGCCTCTGTCTTCCTTGTCCCTCCAGACAGGGTTTGAGGGCCCAGAACAGAGTCAACACAGAGCACCCCAGCGACTGATACAGCCTCCCAAGAGCCTCCCAGGCCCCTGGCCCAGAGAAGGAAGGGATCCCCCGGAGCCCACAACCGCCCTGACCTTATGGGCCTGGTGGGGTCTGTCCGGGTCATCTTCTGCTCAAGAGGGATCTGCTCCCACTTGAAATGCAGGCTCCAGTCGAACCCTAAGGGATAGAGCAAGGTAAGGACAGAGCTCAGGGCAGAGCTGCAGGCTGCTGAGCCCTTTCACTCTGCCACCCCTCGGAGTCTCCCTTGGAGCCCTGGGCTCTTCATGCAGACCCTTCTTCATCAGAATGAGCAAGCCCCTTCCTCTCAGGAAGTGTACCATCTACTGGGTAAGACAGACACTACAAAGATAAATAAATCAATGGAGAATATGTCAGCTGGGGGTGAAAGCACTAAAAAAAAAAAAAGAAGAAAACAAAGGAGGAGTGCCCATCCTGTTAATATTTTAGTTAGAATAGTCAGGAAAGGCTCTCTGGTGACTTTGGAGTGGAGACCTGAATGAAGGCCAGATCCACGCAGATATCTGGGGAAAGGGAATTCCAGGCAGGGGCAGCCACCAGTGCCAAAGCCCTGAGGTGATTTCCCAAAGGGAAAAATGCCTGGCTCCCTTCAGAATCCCACCCTCCCTCAAGATCTAATGGCTGGGTCCGTATAGTGGGAGTCCAGATCCCACACAGGAAATGCACTGTGCCCACCAGTTCCCAGCAACAGATTCTCTAGAGCAGCACAGTTCCGTAGCCCTCTCTGTAATGGTGAAACGTTCTGGATCTGCATTGTCGAATATGGTAGGTACGAACTTCATGTGGCTACTGAGCCCTTGAGATGTGGCTAGTACGGTTAAGGAACGGCCTTTTAAGTTTTATTTAAGTTGAATTAATTTAAGTTTAAGTAGCCAAAGGTGGCTATTGTCTACTATACTAAACAGCCCAGCACAGTCCAAAAGAAATATAATACAAGCCACAAATGTAAGCCCAATATGTAATTCAAAATGTTCTAGTAATCACATCAGAAAAAGAATATATGAAATTAATTTGAATGAAATATTTTAATGTAATATATCAACAATATTGTCATTTCAACATGTAATCAATATAAAAAATTACTAATGAGGTATTTTACATTCTTCCACACCAAGTCTGGGAAACCTGGTGGGTTTTCTATGCCTACAGCACATCCCAATTCCAATGAGTCACTTTTCAAGACTAGTCACATTTCGAGAGCTTAGTAGCCAAATGTGGCCAATAGTCTCCATACACAGCACAGGTCTTGACCATCTCTGGGGTGCACATGCTAGGAAGTCATGCAAGGCTGAGGGCTCCCCACTCCCCATCCTCAGGAAAGCTGTCACATCATGGCCTCCTGCCAGGACTTGTGGCCATGATCCCTAGGCTGGCAGCATTTCGGAAGAATGTGCTGATGTTTGGAGGGAGGGAAAGGTGAGAGACTTGTCAGGCTTTGCTACTGATTGCACCAGAAGCCCACAACCACCAGCTCTGATCCTTTGTCCCCAGTCCCAGGGCTGCACCCAATCCTCTTCATTTTCTCTTCGGAGGTGGTGGAAGGGGGGTCGTGAGACTCTCTGGCACAGCTGGAAAGAGCAGCAAGCGAGGGCTTTTGACTGCCTGGCCTCACCTACCTCCTTTCATGTCTAGAGCCCTCCCCTGGGAGCAGAACTCACCTCCACGAAGGTCAGCAGATGCTGCAAGGTAGGCAAAATTATCCAGACTGATGACATCAATGATGGGACTCACCACGCGGGTATGGTCCTAGGAGAGAGATGCAAGATGCTATGAGGCCTGGGACTCCTCTTCAGAAAAAGGCCCAGCTGCCTGCTCTGGAGAGAAGGCCTCTCTGAGACATGGAGCACTCAGTACTTCCTGTAGGATGTGCCCAGTGCCACCCTTCAACCCTTGCAGGTTCCTGACAGCTGTCCTGTATCACCACAACTTGGCTCCTGGATGTTCCTGCTCGGCTCCCATGTGCTCTCCCAGCCTCTTCCTCACACATAATTTTGAGCCCTGCTAGAATGTCACCTCCTCCTTGAAGCCTTCCCTGACTGCTGCAAGCTAAAGGATTTTTTTCCTCTTTTAAGCTGCTTTCACAATGACAGCCTAGACAATTCCTGGGACAGTGACTAATTGTGCTGCCTGAGGTGGCTCTTCCATTTCTGGTCTGAACTGTTGTTTTACTAATATCATTTACCTTTGTATAACAGTTGAAGCACGTATCAGTTCTTCATTTTTTTTTAATGACTGGATTTTGAGTCTTCCCAATGGGACCACTAGCGGCTGAAGGGCAGGTGCACTGTGGTCCCCATGTAATCTGTGTGCTGTCCCTCTCATACCACATCCTCTACAAGGTGAGTCCCACCACTCCCAGCATCGTCTCCCAGAACACAAAGCCAGATCCAAAACCCTGGTGAATAATGTTGACTTTGCTGGCCTCTTTTTTTGGGTGGCAGATCATATCACACGCCACATGCAAAACTTTAGCACCCTCATGAACCTCTTCTTCTTTCGCCCTCCATGGGGGACACGGAACAGAGCCTCTTCTTTCTTTTCTTTCTCCACTCTGCTTTCACCCCCCCAGATCCTCTTGTCTGGAACTTGGATTCCGGCTCTGCCCCTCAGTTCCCACCCTGTATCAGGATAACAGAAGCCTGGGCTGGGGCTGATCAGCGGAGATCCTTGATGATTTCAGTGCTCTGGGGAGGGCCTCACCTCAGCCTTTCTATGGACTTTTTTGTGCTGAGATATAAAATTATAGTTGTAAAGTACACAATTTGATGGTTTTTAATATATTCACAAGATTGTACAACCATCACCACTATCTTGTTCCAGAGCATTCTCACCACCCCAACAAGAAACCCACTCTACTTTCTATTTCTATAGATTTGCTTATTCTTGATATTCCATACGAATGGAATCATAGAGTGTGTGGCTTTTCGTGATCGGCCTTCACTTCACGTAGATTTTCAAAGTTCATCCATGTTGAATGTTGAAGCACGTATCAGTTCTTCATTTTTTTTAAATGACTGGATGATTCTGTTGTATGACTATATCGCATTTTATTTACCCATTCATCAGCTGATAGGCATTTGGATGTTTTTCTACCTTTTGATTATTCTGAATAGTGCTGCTCTGAAGTTATCGTGTGAACATATGTTTTCATTTCTCTCGGGTATACGCCTAGCAGTTCCACTGCTGGGTCATATGGTAAGTAACTTATGTCCAAACTAGAACTGCCAGACTGCCTCCGAAGTGGCTGCCCTACTTTACATTCCTGCCGGCAATCTATGAAGGCTCCCAAATCTCACACTGAAATGTAATCCCCAAAGCTGGAGATGGGGCCTAGTTGGGGATGTTTGGGTCATGGGGGTGGATCGCTTACGGCTTAGTGTTGTCTTCGTGATAGTGAGTGACTTCTCGTGAGATCTGGTTAGTTTTGAAGTATGTAGTACCTCCGCCCAACTCTCTCTTGCTGTCACTCTTGCCATGGGAGGTACCCACTCCCCCTTCACCTTCTGCCATGATTAAAGCTCCCTGAGGCCTCCTCAGAAGACAAGCAGATGCTGGTGTCACGCTTGTACAACGTTAGCCAATTAAACCTCTTTTTTTTTTTTTCTTGAGACAGAGTTTCGCTCTTGTTACCCAGGCTGGAGTGCAATGGCATGATCTCAGCTCACCGCAACCTCCGCCTCCTGGGTTCAAGCAATTCTCCTGCCTCAGCCTCCCGAGTAGCTGGGACTACAGGCGTGCACCACCATGCCCAGCTAATTTTTGTATTTTTAGTAGAGACGGGGTTTCACCTTGTTGACCAGGATGGTCTTGATCTCTTGACCTCGTGATCCACCTGCGTCAGCCTCCCAAAGTGCTGGGATTATAGGCGTGAGCCACCGCGCCCAGCCAAACCTCTTTTTTTTATAAGTTATCCAGTCTCAGGTATTTCTTTATAGCAAGAATGGCCTGATACAGCTCCTGTTTCTCCATGTCCTTGCCAGCACTTGTTATTGTCCATCTTTTTTATTCTAGCCATCCTGGTAGGCATGAAGTGGCATCTCATTATGGTTTTGAGTGCATTTCCCTAATGAATAATGATGTTGAGCATCTTTTCCTAGGCTTATTGGCCATTTCTATATCTTCCTTGAAAAAATGTCTACTCAAATTCTTCGCCAATTATTTTTTGAGATGGAGTCTCACTCAGTCGCCCAGGCTGGAGTGCAATGGTGTGATCTCAGCTCCCTGCAACCTCTGCCTCCCAGGATCAAGTGATTCTCCCGCCTCAGCCCCCTGAGTAGCTGGGACCACAGGCACCCGCCATCATGCCTGGCTACTTTTTGTATTTATGTAGAGATGGGGTTTCACCATGTTAGCCAGGCTGGTCTCCAACTCCTGACCTCAGGTGATTCACCCGCCTCAGCCTCCCAAAATGCTGGGATTACAGGTGTGAGCCACCACTCCCGGCCCCTTTGCCAATTTTTTTTTTTTTTTGGCGGGGGGTAGAAACGGAGTCTCACTTTGTTGCCAAGCTGGCGTGCAGTGGTGTGATCTCGGATCACTGCAACCTCTACCTCCTGGGTTCAAGCAATTCTCCTGCCTCAGCTTCCTTAGTAGTTGGGACTGCAGGCGTGCACAACCATGCCCAGCTAATTTTTGTATTTTTAGTAGAGACAGAGTTTCACCATATTGGCCAGATTAGGATGATCTTGAACTCCTGAACTTGTGATCCACCCGCCTCAGCCTCCCAAAGTGCTGGGATTACAGGCGTGAGCCACCACACCCGGCCTACCCCTTTGCCAATTTTTAAATTGGGTTGTCTTTTTGTGGTTGGGTTGTAATCTCCTTATCCTTTTCTGCCATCTGTCCAAATCCTCCCCGTTCCAGAGAACAGTAGGCACGTGGCAGGGAGCCCTCCTACCCTCTCCTCTCTTTGAGAACAGCATCTCTCCTCCCTCCTGCAAGGGCTTCGCAGCCTGACAAAAGCGCTCCCAAGACAGGACGCGAACTCTCCCAAGAGAAAAACAGCACTCATCTGTAGTAGGAGCTTTGTGGCTCACCCAGGCTTTCATCCAGTCTCATTCTCACAACAACCCAGTTGTAAAACAATTATTACAATTATCCCCATTTTCAGAGGAGAAAACTCAATAAGATGAAGTCACCCACGGGGAAGCAGACTATTTGGCCTGCCCAGCTTCAAAGGCTGTCTCATAGATCTCAGTGCTGGGAACATAGTGGTTGAGTCCCCAAGGACCCCTAGCTCCCCAGAGACAGTGGCTCACCTCCTTCACCCGCTGCAGCATGGGCTGAAGCCACTCTGTGTTCACTTCACAGTGGCTGTCCAGAAAGGTGAGGACAGTAGCTGCAGCCACGTCCGCCCCACGCACTCGGGACCGGATCAGCCCTGCAAGGGGAGTAGACAGGGTGTGGCACTGGGACTGGGCCAAGTGGCTTCCCATCTGTCCCCCAAAGTCCCAGGGCTCTCCTCCCCACCAGGGACTGAGGTTTCCAGAGTTGTTGTGATTAGATTTGACTTTGCACTTCTGCTTGCTTCCTGCCTCCCTCCCTTGCTTCTTCTTATCCGTCCATCAGCCATCATCACTCCAGGGTCACACCCCGAGTGCCTCTATGTGCCAGTCACTGTCTGGGCTCTAGGGACACACTGATAACAGTCACAGTTTATAGCGTGGAAAGTACAGTCAAGTATCGTTTAATCCTAAAGGAGAACCAGAAAACAAAGCTTTTTCCCGTGGGAATCTCTGGGGGGACCCCTCCAGTGGTGCCCTGGAGCCTCCACCCTACACGTACTCCATATGTGTAGCATGGAGATTATCTTCGCGACTAAGACAGGCTTCGGTTTGTATGGCGGCCCCTTCCTTTCCCTTCAGCCTGTTATTTAACCACTCTGAGCCTCAGTTTTCTTATCTATAAGATTCAGAGAGATAATAATCCCTGACTGTCAGGATCAAACAAGACAACAGGGGGAGGAGAGCTTGGTGCCTGGGAGACCCACACTCATCAGATTCTGTTCTTCTGTGCCCGTCCCTCGACAGCCTCACCAGCCTCATTTTGGGCGGCTCTCTGCTTCGGGCTGGGACCTGCCTGGTCAAGAGGGAGGAGGCTCAACTTCTCCTGCCTCTGCCAGAGTGGCCATTCGTGCCCTGTGAGCTGTGGGAGGGAAGGGCCTCACTCTTAGAGCTCTTAGCACAAGAAGCTCCTTGGAGACATTTCCCTAGCCATGCCTCTGCTCCACACTCTGCCTCTAGCTGTCTACCAGCCTGCCAGCCAGCCAGAAGCTTGTCAGTCTCCACTCCAGAAGGGTCTACAAAGTATCTAGTCATAAATTCACATTTACTGTTGGCAAATCCAGCATATTCCCAGACCTGACAGTACCTACAACCCAGTAGCTTGGGAAACATTTGACTTTGGCCACTTACATTTGGTTTGAAGGTCTCCCTCACTGATATCCTGGTGGCCCCTTGGCCTGACTGGTCTTTCTTTTCCTTCTTCCTTCCCTTCCTCCCTTCCTTCCCTCCCTTCCTTCCCTCCCTTTCTTCCCTCCCTCCCTCCCTCCCTCCTTCCTTCCTTCCTTCTTTCCTTCCTTTCTCCCTCCCTCCCTCCTTCCCTCCTTCCCTTCCTCCCTTCCTTCTTCCCTCCCTCCCTCCCTCCCTTCCTTCTTTCCTTCCTTCCTTCCTTCCTTCCTTCCTTCCTTCCTTCCTTCCTTCCTTCCTTCCCTCTCTCCCTCCTCTCTTTCAGACTGAGTGTCGCTCTGTCACTCAGGCTGGAGTGCAGTGGCAAAATGGCTCACTGCAACCTCCACCTCCCGGGTTCAAGTATTCAAGTGATTCTCCTGCCTCAACCTCCCAAATAGTTGGGATCAAAGGCATGCACCACCACGCCCAGCTAATTTTCATATTCTTAGTAGAGACCAGGTTTCAGCATGTTGGCCAGGCTGGTCTTGAACTCCGGACCTCAAGTGATCTGCCCACTTCGGCCTCCCAAAGTGCTGGGATTATGTTAAATATAACTATCACATCCCACTCTCACTCTAAAAGCTTCAGTGGCTCCCTGTTATCTCTGCCTTATGAAGTCAATGCTTTCTTCTGGTTCCAAGGTCTTCTGTCATCTCAAATCACTATACCCATTCCATTCCCCCTGCTGACCAGGCCTGGGGTCTCCCAGGAAGGGAGTCTGAATAGAGGGAGGTTAGGAGGCTGGCCTTTGGAGTGGGCCCCACAGGTTGGAACCCTGGCTGCTCTATTCATCACCCTGGGCAAATCACTGAAGCTCCTTAAACCCCAGTTTCTTTGTCTGTACAATGGGCACAGTGGGATGAGTATAAGGACTGAGTGGAGCAAAGTGGATGCCCGCAGGGGAGGAACCCTCTATTGCACATGTCCACACTCCTCACCGACACCTTTGCTTGCAGAGTGCACAAGCCAGCATGCCCTCCCTTACTCCCCTTTACCTGTCTCACGATGCCCCCACATCCCGCTGAGGCCCATTCCTCCATGGAAGCCTTCCCTGCTCACTCCAGCTCTCCTCCAGACTCCATGCTATTCATACCCAACCACAACAGCATGTGGCTGCAGTGGCTTCTGACCCCCTGCTTATGTAGCAGGCCCTTGGAGGGCAGGGACCGCGCTTCGTGCTTCTTTCGTGTCCCCTAGAGTGCCACGCACAAAGCCATGCTATAGTTGCTACTCCAAAACACGTCTGGATTGACAGTGAGGTCACATCTGCTTTATGCTTCTGGATATTCTCAAAGCCTTTCCACACAACCTGTCTCACGCAATCCTTACAATCACCTTGCAAGGCAGAAAGGGACTGTCTTATTCCATTTCTCAGGAGAGGCAGCTAAGGGAGTCAGAGATGGAGCAACTTGCCTACAGTTGTGCCTGGACGGGGCTGATCTGGGAAGGAGGAGAGTCTTCTGCAGGGCCTGGTCCCAGCCATCAGGAATGCAGCTGGGCCATGCTGGCTTGGTGTGCCACGGCACCACGAGAGAGTGGGGAGGTGCAGAGCATGACACCAAGACGGGCCCTCACTGGGACCCAGGGTGCAAGGACTCACCTTCCCGCCGGTCATTTCGCAGGCACTTGACCTTGGGGATCCTGGTCAGGAGCAGACAGTCTTCCGCTGACGATGTAGAGAGGAAGGCAAGCTCATTTAGACATGGGCATCAGACCACAAGCGGTTGGCTGCCATGAAAATTGCCCTATACTAAGCCCAGGAAAGGGCTGGGGATGGGCATGGGGAAGGGGTATGGTCATCGTTGCTGGCTGAAGGGCTGCCCTGCCCCAGTCTCAGACCAGACTGAAGAGTGCCTGTGCCTATGGCAGCACTCCACTCCACCCCAGGGAGCGTCAGAGGGCACGCTTGGGGGTGGCTACCAGCCCAGCTATCATCTGCATTTGGCAGTGGTAATAATGAAGGATGCTGTTGATTTTATTCACTTTTTCTTTAAGATCATCTCACTAGTGTCCCATCCAAAGCAACACCCACCCTTCTTTCCCCTCCTTTGACACCAGGGAACAGGACTCGAGAGGGGTCCTAGAAAAGTCAGGATCCTTGCGGGGGCACAGAGGTCAGACTGCCATGGTCAGGAAACCTCAAGGGTGCCTGCCTTAGCTTTCTGGAGAAAGGGGATGAGGGTGGTATGGAGGGCTGCATTCATGATCTGAAGGTGGCTACTCACGATCTGAACTGAAGTCATCCACTAAAATGATCTCCTGGATCAAGTTGGCAGGAGTTCGGTTCAGGACACTACAGTAGCAGTGGAAACAGAGAAGGAGCCTGGATTTAGGAACCACCCTCCATGTTTACCACTCCCTGGGCCGTGGGACTCCCCGCCCCGCCCCGCCCAGCTCCAGGGCCAGCACACTGGGCACTCCTTCCTGAATCCCATTCTTGTCTAAGTTCATTGAGGAAATGGGGAGATGGGAGTTTAACCTGACCACAAGCCCAGGCTTCACAGGAAGAATCCACCTCCAATCCACCTCTCTCTGACTCACTGACAGGCCCTGCGGGGCTTCCATCATCCTCCTGAGGCCTCCGGCCTAGCCCTGCCTCCCTCAGTTCCTGACGCCTGCATTTCTGCCCTTGTCCTGGACACCTAACCTGGTGTTTGACTGTCGCATTCCTCTGACAGTTGGACTTCTGGGGTCTTCCTGGCCCTGATTCACCAGTGTCAGCTTCTCAGAAGGACAGGGCTCATCCTTCTGGCACCTGCTGGGCTCCATGCTGTCTGGCCACAGCACCCTATCCCAGTGTCCTCCCCTGCCAGCACCACTGAGGTGAGAGCCCTGTGGCTGGACTTACCTCTTCACTGTGCGCAGCAGGGTGGAGCGAGCCTCATTGTGGAAGGTGATGATGACGCTGGTGGCCGGCAGGTCCGAGGAGTAGGACACCGATGGGCAGCTGAGAAGGGAGCACGGAGGTCAGAGGCCAGCCGTGAGGGCATCCTCAGGGCAGGTCAAGGTTTTTCTTCGTCCAGTCTATTGCACCCAAGAGTACTTCTTCGAGGCAGAGATGGCACACCCAAAACCAGGCCAAAGGCCTCCACCCCCACCCCCACACTGTATCCCACATTGGCCGAGAACCCTAATGCCACCCATTCTGGGGTCCTGGGAGGGAAGCAGCAGGCTGGGGGACCTTCCAAGGGCCAAGGGCTCTTTACCAGAGCCCCCAGATCCACTGGCATGTTGAGTAGGGCTCCCTACTACGTGCAGGTACTGCACCAGGGCCCAGGTACAGCCCTGACCACACAGGCAGAACTCTGTCCTACGGTGCGGGGGATATGCAGGAGAGAAAACCACCTCTTTGTTTGTCCTGACACCCTGGAGCTTCTCCCTTCTTTCCTCCCAGCTTAGGACATTTGTAGCATCTGCAGAGGAATTGCCCCTACCCTGGCTGCCAGGGAATTCCTCCCCTCTCACTGCCCAGCACTGACAGCCTTGCTGCAGACAACAGGCTGGGGAGCCGTCTCGCTCTTCCTGTGTCCTGGGTTCCCTGGAGGAAACAAGCCTCTGATAAGACACTGAAGGCCTATCCTGTCACCCCCTCCCTCCTCAGCCATCTACAGACACCACATTTTTTGGCCTACTGGCTTCCCTCCTCTAGAAAGGGAGCGAGAGCAATCCATTCCTGCCACACTTCATCCCTGTTGTTTCTGCGCATGTATCTATCTGCACTCCTGGGGTGCTGGAAGGCAGCCTCCGTTGCTGGTTTTCATAACAATCTTCTTTATTACAATTGCTCTCTGACTATTCCAGCAGTGACTATTTTTTCATTATGTCATTCATTCCACTGACAGCAGCTTACAGCCTGAATTCCCAGGCCTGTTTCCTGCCCTGCAGAGCAGACTGGGTCAGACAGGTGGGAGTCCCACTAGCCTGGGACCCCCTGGGGGAAATCTTGAGAGTCTGTGTAATAATTCTCCTTGAGAGGAGTTGTGGGGTAGCAGTGGCAGAAAGAAATTTGCCTTTTGCCCCTTGAGAAACCATGTTGTTCAAGGGCATACAAATCAGAGGAGTGGGGCAGGAGTGAGCTTAGAGGCTGAGGCAGGGTGTGCTGGATACCCCCTAAGTGTGCAGCAGATACCCCCTAAGTGTTCAGCCTCCCAGTGCTGACCTCCAGGGCCCCAGTCCTCTGTCCTTGCCTCCCAATCATCTGGTGCCCCGGAAGGAGGGAGTCAGAGCTGTGACGTCTCCCTGAAGTGGGCAAACCCACCCACAGCTCATCTGAAGAATGAGCTTGAACTCCCCAATGCCCCCCCCTCAGTAATTGATATTACTGAGGACGGGGTTTATCTGGCTCCCAGGAGCCAGGAGTCTCTACAGGGGTTTGTCCCAGGCCTGCATTTTGAGTTTGGGGTTGGTGGGGTTTTCTCTGTGATCCTCCTAGGGATGTCTTATGTGGTTTATGTCCCTTTGGTCCCCTTGAGGGGGCTCCCTAAATTGAGAGCTGGACCAGAAATGAGCCTGACAATTTGGAGTCCAGCAGACATTACAGCCTGTGGGGCTGCCGGGAAGAACAGCTCACATGCACGCGCTGGCTCCACCATGGCGGGAGGCCTGCCCACCAAAGCCAGCACATCCTTTGCTCCCCTACACATATACAGGCACATACACACACCCCGTGGGCCACCTCAGCTTTCTTTTTTTTTCTTTTTTGAGACAGTCACACTCTGTCACTCAGGCTGAAGTGCAGTGGCACAATCTTGGCTCACTGCAACCTCTGCCTCCTGAGTTCAAGAGATTCTCCTGCCTCAGCCTCCAGAGTAGCTGAGATTACAGGCACCTACCACAACACCCGGCTAATTTTTTGTATTTTTAGAGATGGGGTTTCACCATGTTGGCCAGGCTGGTCTTGAACTCCTGACCTCAAATGATCCACCCTCTACGGCCTCCCAAAGTGCTGGGATTACAGGTGTGAGCCACTGTGCCTGGCCTACCTCAGACTTCTGAGAGGGCCCTGCAGCAGCATGCGGCAACTCATCAACCACCACTACCTTAGATTTAGAGTCTCATTTAAAAATGTACGTAGCCCCCAGGGCAATTCCCCCTTTAAGTTTCTCAGTGAGCACCCGAGAAAGTTCAGAGTCGGGTGGGCTGGGAGAGTGAACAGAGATTATCCAGGCCGAGCCCTCAGTTCACAGATCTGGGTCTGCAGATCCTCCAGGCCCTGGGACTAGGTCAGCCAGGGTTAGGGCTGCCTGTGAAAGGTCTCCAAGTGGAGCTACATGGATGTAACCTCTTCCGCGGTGCAGACAGACAGTAGGGGACACTGCCCAGGACTGAGTGAGAAAGAACGTCTGAGGCCCAGAAATGCCCTGCAGACCTGGTGGGCGCCTTGCCGCGAGCAGGAGTCCTGCCTTACTTGGCTGCATGAGTGGTTCCTGGAGGCTGACAGTGCTGGCATTACCGAACAGCAAGGCCGAGGTCTGGGGCTGCCCCAGCCCTGTGTTCATCTCACCTTGCACAGGCCACCAAGCACCCTGGACTTCAGCTATGTGTTTGTGAGTAACAAGGAAGGTTCTAGAACTAGGTCTCCTTGCACCCTCATCTCACCTACACCCTTTGTGCTGTGGATTAGCTGCTTCAGAAGTAAAAGCAACCTTGATCCAAGTCATTGTTGCTACTCTCCAACCAGGACCGGACCAGACGGAGGCCCAGGCTGGCTCTGAGAACATAGCTGTAGGCTCAGCGATGGGTCAGCTCCAACAGTGCCCTGGCCATTCTGTGAGATGTCTGCACAGAGCACAGATGAGGGGCCCAACCTAGCCGGGGTTGGCAAGGAACCTTCTCTGGAGGAGAAGACGCTGAGCCAAGTCTTGAAGGCTGGGTGGGGGAGGTGCATTTGGGGAGAGGAAACAGCCCCGGTGAAAGCAAGGAAGGAAGCAGGGAGGAGTCCAGGACTGCAGGACCATCAAGGGCTGGGAGAAGGGCAGGTAAGGTCATGGTGAGGGGAGCATGGTGCTTCAGCATCAGGAAGTCAGACTGTTCCTGCAGGTGACAGCAGGAAGAGGAAAGATGGGAGATGGTGACTTTTATGCTCTAGACAGAACGCAAGAGCCTAGACCTGGAGCAGGGCTAATGACTTGCTTAAGGCCGGTCACTCGCAGTGAGCTGGGATGAGAGTGGAGGCTTCCCTGGTCCTGGTCTAGGGCCTCTCCCACCTCACCACACTGCGAGAACTAAGAACAAGACAAGAAATGCTAAGAAGCATTTCTGGGAGTTGCTGAACAGGTGGGGCTGTGGAGCAGGAGGAAAGGAAGGAAAAGGATGTCAGCGGAGTGGGGCACAGCACCCCACTGTTCGCAGTGGGTAGGGCTGTGCCCCGTCCCCTTTAGGCACCACCAGTAAGGCCCCAAGGGCACCCGGCTCACCCACCCCCACGGCCCTCCTTTGGTCCCCTCCCAGGTCACTCTTGCTGGAACACCAGACTGAAGTGCCTTGGGGCCTCCTTGGCCTTAGCTGAGTGGTTTCCTTGGCCTTGGCAGGCCCTCAGTAGGTCAGGTGAAAAAGCAATGGAGGGTGAGGGATTTGAATGTCTAAATCACCAGACGCAGTCTAAGGAAATCATCCTCATTTCTTGGATACACGTAAAAGAAGACAAACTAAACAATGTTGGCCTTTTCTCAGCCTTTCTTCCTCCACCGACATGATGGAGGCCGTACCTGTAATGGCGGGTATCCCGGATGGGCCGGTCCGGGCTCAGCTTGTCACTCTCCAGCTGGTTGAAGGCATGCTGCCTGTAGGGGTCCTCTCCAGCCTTCAGCTGCTTGGCCGACAGGTAGGCCTTCTCATCAAAGCCTTTCGAGGGAGTTCCTGTCACCTAAGACGAAGGTCAGCATCAGAGAGGACCACAGGCAGGAGGACCCAGCCACGTGGTGAGCACTCAGCACACACCAGGCAGGAGCCAGCCACGTGGCCTCATTTGTGCCTTATGCTAACTACCAACTCTATGAGGAAGACACCATTATTTTCCCATTGTACAGATGAGAAAACTGAGGCTGAAGAGGCTTTTTTTTTTTCTGGACACAGGGTGTCTCGTTCTGTCACCCAGGCTGGAGTGCAGTGGCACGATCTTGGCTCACTGCAACCTCTGCCTCCTGAGTTCAAGTGATTCTCCTGTCTCAGCCTCCTGAGTAGCTGGGATTACAAGCATGCACCCCCATGCCTGGCTAATTTTCATAGTTTCGGTAAAGATGGGGTTTCTCCGTGTTGGCGAGGCTGGCCTTGAACTCCTGACCTTAAGTGATCCACCCGCCTCAACCTCCCAAAGTGACTTACTAGTGCTGACCTTAAAAAGCTTTTTAAAAAGCATCCAAGGTCAGAGCTAGTAAGTCACAAGGTCGGAATTTAAACTGGTCATTCCGACTCCAAAGCCCACACTGACCAATGCTTTTTGTGGGATATGGGGAGGGTAGTCCTGGAGTGCACCAGACCTCTAAGGCAAGGTGTCCTGAGGGAACTACAAACTAGAATAGACTGCCAAGTGCCTGCAGATTGATAGTCTCCTAGGGAGAAACCCAGGCCCAGCCCTGGGCTAGGCATTATAAGAGGCACCCCATCAGTAAAACACCAGGGCTTGGACAAGCTGCTGCAGAAAGAACTACCTGTAAGGACAACAAACCCTCGCAGGCTGATGCCAGAGCTGCCAGAACTCAAGTGCACAGACAGTGATGCATCTTCTGTGGGACTTTTGCTTGCCCCTGAAATGGCCCTTGCAAGATCCACTGGTCCCCAGGCAGTAAGTGCTGGGCATGATGGATGGCAGATGTCATTGCCCATCCCCTTTCTTCATGGCCACACCCTCCCCTGTACTCCCAGAGTCTCCAGCAACAGACACTGGGGAAGGACACATCTAAAATGAACGGATGGATGCATGCATCCTGACATCTCATTACTTGAACGCAACTGCTGGCTGGATAGTCTCCAGAGTGCCATGAAATATCATCAACTGTGGGTACATCCCAACTCCAACTTTCCCCCCGACCATCAGCCCTAGAGTGAAGCTGTGGTAGCAGAGGAAACAGAAAGGAGGGTGAGAATTGACCACTCACAAAACTCTTGCATGAGGATGGATGCTAGTACAGCCTAGTCTTAGAGGGATGGTCCTGGCTGGACCTGTGGGGAGTGTGAAATGACACTGGGACTGTGTGAAATGACACTGGGACTGTCTATCAGCAGCTCAGGGCCTCCATGTTCCCCTGAGAGCCTAGCACTCAATCTCACTAGACAGGCACGCCCAGGGTCCAGGGAGCTCTTATCTCTGGAACTTCTGCCACTCTGTAGCGATGCTACCTTCTCAGGTTGCCTCTTGTCCTAGGAGCCAGTTGGTGGCTCCCTGAGGGCAGAACAGTGAGGGAGATGTCCTTGTGTCCACTGTGCCCACCCTATGTCAGACACAAATGCTCATGATGGTAACATGGCTGCGGCTGCTTTGCTGAAACACTGAGGTGGTCCCATGGCAGAGACGGAACAGATGTGGCAGAGCCCCCAGTGAACTCAAAATCCATTTCAGGAAAGACTGAAGAACGGAAGGAAGGAGGGAGAGAGGGAGAAAAGCAATGCTCTGGCTTGAGCCCTGGATTTCTAGAAGGATCCAAGCCATCCAACTCTTAAAGTGAGAGTGAAAGGGAGAGTGATCCTTTGTGTCCTTCCCACCTGGGAAAGTGATGGATGCCCTCTTAGCTCCGGGTCAGGGAAATGAAACACAGCCTCCAGTTGATGGCAAAGGAGCTAATATTGAAGAGGAACGATTTACTGAAGCTCCCCAAGGGAGAGTGTGCATTTCATTATCCTTCAGGTCAGCTGTGGGAAATAGCCATGTTTGTTTCTTTAGGACTTATGGCCACCTTGTGGGCTCAGGAAACCTCTGAGTCCTCATCCCATGCTCATTCATTGCCCAGTGAACATTGACTGACAGTCACCTCGTCTACCAGGCACTGGGGCAACCTTCTGGATCACCTGAACATGCATTCATGTGTCTATGAACACTTGCATTCACTCATCCATTCATTCATTCAACCAAGCTCCACTGAGGGCCTCCTATGTGCCAGGAAGCAGAAGTAAGGTTTCTGAGACTGTTCCCCTGCCCCAGCCTGCTGCCCTCCCCACCTCATTCAAGGCTTCCTCAGGGCCATGGAGAATGTTGCAGAAGAATGTCTGCTCAGGTCCAGGCTCTCTAGAGAAGTTCCTTCCAAGGCCTTGAAATTGAGTTAGACGTCCTTGGAGATGCTATTGGGAAAAGTCTGCTGTTCCCTTCCACAAAGCCATAGTCCCTGGGTGGTCCAACCCCCATCTGGGTGGTGTCAGGGTTTGGGGTCTGACTCTTCACCTGTGAGACAACTTGTGAGACAGATGTCATGGAAACAGCAGGCGCACTCCTCCCAGAGGTCTTAGCTCTCCTTTCAGGAGGGACCCTGCTGTCCCTTGGGGTTGGAGCTGAAACATCAGTTGGTCCTGAGCCAGTCAAGTGGAGGGGATACGGAGGAAGGGTAGGTGTGGCTCCTGGCAATTCCATGAGCTCTTCAGGGCTTCCACCTCCTCTCTCCTCAGCTCTCTCTGACCTCGCCCCAGTCACCACCCAGAGCTGTTCTACTTCCGATGTCTAACCCTAGTTCCTATGCCCAGACCATAATCATTTCCTCCAAGCTCTTAAACTCCTCCTTTTACCTTTAGTCCCATTCTTTGATCTTGAGACTTCAGATCTTTGAATGTCCCATGGATGCTTCTAACTTGGCATCTCAAAACAAATTCCCCACTTATCCCAAAGCTGCTGCTTCTCCTGCTTCTCTGTTGCAGAGATGGGCAGTTCCACCCAAGTCATGAATTCACAAAATCGTCCTTGATGCCCTCCCATGCCTCACAGCCTGATTCAATGTCTGCCCTCTATATTCATAGACAGAGTACTTCATACCGCTGGCATTAACTCAACAGATAGTGATTGAAAACCTACTATGTACATACACTGGGTAAGAGGCTGGGAATGTGGATATATACAAAAGGCAACATGGGACCCCTAGAACAGGAATCTAAGCATCTGGTCCCTTCCATGCCCCACCTCATGCCAGGCTTGGCCATGGAAGATCAGGAAGAAGAAACCTCCAACCCAAGCTCAGAGCAGGGGCAGCCAGAGAACTGACCACAGAACCTCACCCCAACCCCGACTCCCACTGAAGCAGGAGTCTGCAGATGTCGTGTGACCAGTGGAGGCTGTTTCCCTCCTCCTCTCTTCTTATTCTTTTTTTTTTTTTTTTGAGACGGAGTTTCTCTCTTGTTACCCAGGCTGGAGTGCAATGGCGTGATCGTGGCTCACCACAACCTCCGCCTCCTGGGTTCAAGCAATTCTCCTGCCTCAGCCTCCTGAGTAGCTGGGATTACAGGCACGCGCCACCATGCCCAGCTAATTTTTTGTATTTTTAGTAGAGATGGGTTTCACCATGTTGACCAGGATGGTCTCGATCTCTTGACCTCATGATCCACCCACCTCAGCCTCCCAAAGTGCTGGGATTACAGGCTTGAGCTACCATGCCCGGCCCCTCCTCCCCTCTTCTAAAGGGGAATTGTGCTGCTGCTATCCTGCATTCCATCCACGTTGCTCACTAAGTGTATCGGCAAGGGAGTAAATGCATCATTTGGCACTTGGCTGCAGGACCATGAGGAGCTATATCTGGACCAGCTCAAGAGACTAGAGATCCTGGGCTTGGAGCCACTGGATGGGACTGGCTTGGCTGCCCTCTCTGGAGGGGGTGGTGAGAGTATTTTGGGCTGTTGATGGAATTCTTATGTCAGGCAGGGGCACATGTCACATGACACTGACATTTGTGCTTTACTGCTCTTTCTTTTCCACTAGATGGTGAGCTCTTCCTCATGGGGTTCCCCGCTCCCGGCACATAGTAGGTACTCAACAAGTGTTTGCTGAATCAAGGAACAGATGTATAAATGAATGAATACCTACATATTGTCCCTGCTCTCAAATGGCCTATAATCAATTGGAGAGAAAACAACAGCAAACAAATGGGACCCTCTGACACATCACGTGACCTTCAGTGCCCCCGTCTCTCTCACAGACTACAAGCCCAAAGCTCACAATGGCCTGAGGTGCTCTCTGGGCAGGTGTCACCTTGCTGAACTTGCTTCCCCTGTTGCCCCTTACACACTCTGCTCCAGCCACACTGGCATCCCTTCTGTTCCTTCAGCCCGCCAGGCACCCTTCCCTATAGGCTTCTTTCTGTGGAAGGCTGTTCTGTGGGGCTCTCTCCTTCATCTCCCGCAGAGCCCTCATCAAACCTCACCTGCTCTGTTAACCTTCCACAACCACCATCTGTAACTCTGTGACCCCAACCCCACCCTCGCATTCCCTGTCCTCCCGTACTGTTTTACTTCTCCTATGGCACTCATAGCAATCTGACAGTCCATGTGTATTTTATTAATTTTATGTTTTTGGCTACTTCTCCAAACAAGGTTATAAGCTTCACCAGGGCAGGGGTTTTCTGTTTTGTCCAATGCTGAATCGCAAAGCCCAGAGCAGAACCTTGGTGGTTGTAGGCACTCAAAAACAATAGCTATTGAATACATGTCTGATCTCAAGCCTCCCTTTCCCTTCCTCCTTTCCCCACCATCCCTGCATCCTTGGCCAAATACAACATTTGAGACTGAGGTGGACCAAGCTGGTGTAGAGTAGTTTTTGCCTGTCTTAGAGATCTTCTTCCCCACTCATAGGCTACTGGCAGGATTGTCATTCACTGTCCCCTGTCCCACCAATACCCTGAGCACCAACACAAAGGTGAGCAGAAGACCCTGGCTAGGCCAATCTCATTACTGCAT